TATACATATATTTTATATATATATATATACACACACATATATATATATATATATATCTGGGTGTGCGTTTATTTTTTATACGACATTTAAACTAATTATGTGCTGAAATATATAAATGATTTTTCTTTCTTCATTTTTATTGAAAAGATATAGAAGGTTAGTGATAGCCTATCTTAAGTATAATCCTTTGAAACGAAGTATACCCTGGTGTCATTTAACCAGGTTTATATATTTCCGGACGCTACTTACCACGTTTCCACGGCAACCTAAACAAATATCGAATCCTGGTTTATAATGGATCTAGGAAGCTTTATTATTGTATTGTTGATCCTACGATATCTATAACTGTACTAACAACAATGATAAGGCAGTAAACTTAACTGCCATGCAGAAAAAGAAAAACAAAAAATTCGTTGGAAACTGAGACATTCATTTTGTGAAAAAATTAAAACGACCTTATTAGAGTGAAGACCAGTGAAGACATTAAATCGAACCTTCAACTAACATTTTTTTGAAAATTAACTGAGAGAGAAAAGCACTTTTAGAAAGTTGAGTGGTAGTATCATAAGTAGACGTTTAAATCAAATTAAATTCCTAAAATCGATAAAAAATAAATGATAAGGGACCCTAAAACTCATGCAGATTTTGGCAGTTTTTTCTCTCCCTGTCAGCGATTAACTTCGAGCGAGAGAGATAAGAAGTAAGTAGAAAAAATAATACGCTTCGAAATGAAGTTCAATCCGGCTTCAAACCTTCGAGGATATCGATCAGCCTTAAATAAAAAGCCGCTTGTATTTAAGTTAAATTAAGTTGTACGAATAGAACATTAATGCTGTTTATCTATTACGTCACCATGATAGTCGCCGCCATGTTTGCCGACGCGAGCTAAAAAGGTGTCTAAAAGCTTTAGTCCTTTTTTTTTCTCTGTAAAAGTAATTTAAACTTAAGGAATCATTTGTGCTATCTGAAGGGCGGAGGAGGTTTTACTAGAGGCCAAATATAAAGCTTTGGTGCGCCATCTTTGTTTTCCCATCTCAGACCATGTGTCATGCCCTTGAGTATGATGTTCTTTGGAAATCAAGTGTATTGTAGCGGTAACTCGTCTCTTATTTCTAGGGCTTTGGATTCGATTCCTGAACGAAGCATCACATGTAAGTATAATTTATTGGGTTTCTCTCTCGTTTTTAATGGTGTTTACCCCAGGTTCTCCGGTTTTCCTCCCTCAACAAAACCTAATACTCTAAATTCCATTTCCATAAGTGAGTTAGCTGTACCCTGATTTAGCTAAATCAACCTCGAGGTTTTTTCAGGGTTAAAAAATATTTGAATACGTTGTTTACCATTGATTTTGAATTGGAGTAGTTGTAAACGAAGATATTCATCCATTTATCTTTATGTTCTTCACGGACGACGTGTCAATGCTTTATATTTACCGTCGACATGAAGCATTCAGACAGGCTAGTGAAACAGAAATGGATACATGCATTAAAACTTATTCTAGTATTTATTCCAGTTAAGGGTTTACGCTCAACACCTTCACCTCATTCAAGCCTTTAATCCATCTTCTTCATGCTGAAAACACCTACGCATATGCGGACTAATTGCACTCTTAGACTGTAGTTTTCGTTTTACGACGTGCTTCGCGTTTATGGCCTATGTTTTGGCGCTAGTTAATATTACTTTAACGCTTCATCATGCACTTTGGCCAATATATCATATTCTATACTTTAATTTAAGTTGTTTGGGCAAAGAAAAAATGTTTGGTTATCGTTTCAATATATATATAGTGTTTTTACACAAGTGAATATAATAAATCCAGCGCGTTCATTGGTCACATTTTACGTCTTATGCTGTTATATTTACCTACAGGTGAATATAACAGTGAGGCGCACGCTTACGTGTGCTGCTTGCAGAAATAACATTTAAAATAACAAAACAAAACTTTTTCTTTATTATTTATCAAATTGACTTAAAATCGCTAAAATGAATATAAACGGAAGATCGTAGTTTCCACTCCCATCTGGAACTCAGAATTCTTCAGTTTCCTTCCTCCACATACATTTTCTTCATACTCATAATTTCAATATATTTTATTATAAATGTATTATAGCAACGCTATTTTAAACGTTAAGTAATGTAATACTCACATTACCATATGATGAGTCATCTTTTGTTTTAGAGAGGTAAATGTTATACCAAAATTTCTCAAGAATAAAAAATTATTGTTTATCTGATAATATCATTTTCATCGTCATAATCATATTTCGTATATATTTTTGTATTCGGGGCCGGGTTTGAAGTGGCTTCTCGAAATTTATGGACCTTTTTATATGTGCGCTGGCATAATAATCCATTTTCGAGTTCTCTGTTGCTCAGGGTTAGCCTCGAATATCAAAATTGTTCCAGTGAAGGTCCGTGGATTTTCAAAGTGTCGTAAGTTGTAAATTCTTTGCTTTACCGTTGATACGAGGCCAAGCCTGAGTAAATGAGTCTGTAATGAAACGACACATCAATACTTATTTGGAACCTCAAAAAGTATATATTGTTATGCTGGCTCAGTAAATTATTTAAAAAAATAGAAATTGTTTTTATCTTTATGTTAGAAAGTTTATAAATTGTTTTACGTTCTTCAAACATAAGTCGTGAAAGAGTTGATATCATACTTCAGTGTCCGTTTAATATAAAATTCTAAATAAGAGAGACTGCCGAAATACACCGAATATTGGACAGAAAAATAATCCAAAATACTGGCACCAACACATTCAACGCCTTAATTGTAACCCACTTTACTGATTAGTGAATGTTATATATATTCAAATTCCAGTCATGTCTTTGTTCCTTTTTAGACGCTTTTGTACTCCATAATTTTTTTCTCTCACTTATTATTCATGATTTTACGATGATTATTTCTTAGGTCGTCGAAAGCGTTCGCATCTCTTCAATGCGACTAGGTGTAATGTATGAAAAGAACATACTTTATATTAGCTATGAGTAGAGTTGTTTGTTGGTTCTCTCCTGTGCTTCGAGGGTTTTTCTCCAGGTACTCCAGTTTTCCGTTCATCACAAAAATCAACTTCTAAATTCCAATGCGTGCAAACATGGAATGAGGGCCACAGCCCTCATAAATGTATCCTATAGATAGATACTTTATAGATAGATACTTTATTGAGTAAGTACATCGCAGCCAAAAGGCTGAATTGCGTACACGAGGACGATTTATCAACGTCGACAGAACACGCCTAACTCACAGGGTTTCCTCGCGAGGACCAATCACATTTAAGGTGACTGCCTATTTTTGAACGTATTTGAGCCCACGATGAGCGCGCGCTCAAAAACCGCTGAATAATCTACAAGATTTTATTGAAGAACCACACACGTTTTGAACCTCAAGAGGGCAAAAACTCCTCAAATTTTGCCCGATACTCTATACCTTTTATAAGCTTATCCAAAAATACTTCTAAAAATCTACGGTATATCAACTTCTTTAGAAAAGTTAATTTTTCTAGCACACGAAAATATAGGTTTTTGTAGGGATTTTTGTGAGTCTTTTTGTGAGTCTTTTTCGTCTCTTGACGAAATATGACAAATCAATGCATTTCTTTGTCTTTTTGTCAACTATCCTGTATTGTAGAATGATTCACTTGTCTGTAAAGAACTGATCTTGTAAGTTTTAAAACCTCGCGCGTAGGCATCTATTAAATGCCGATTATCTCGAAAACAAGCTTGGGACGCCCCATTTTTCTTTTCGTATTTGGAATCAGCATTAAATTTCACTCTAGGAAATTGTACTTTTTTTAAGAAAAAAAGCTGTTTTTTGTTTTTTGTTTTGTTTTTTTTCAAAAATAGCCAGTCACCTTAATAAGTTTCTATTTCTTGCGAGAAAGTGTTTATTATGTGACGGGTATTTGTTAAAGAGGTTAGTCGAGAAATGTAGACTGTGTGTCTCTGGTGCAATATATACCAACCACTTATTTGCACTTAACTACATAGTATAGTAACGGGAAGAAGTATATTGTTAAGGGATGTATTTTCAACTTTTAGAACCAGTTGAGTTGGGCCTCTTGAGATATGAAACGTTATCCTCTTTTTATATTGTGTTTGCGGGTTTCTGTTTTTCATTTAGTCATTTATTGTTCATTTATTCATCCACTCACTTGTTATTATTCGTTGGTTCGTTCTCAATAATTTCACATCAACTAGCTAGATATATTCTCCCCTTTGTCTTGAACAGCTCTGATGAATATTCTGAATAGTAATGTATTCCCTCAGTAGCTCTGATGAAAGCAATTTTTTTTATTTCTCAAGTAGTTGTAGATACTATCTATTCTTCGAGAACATATATTGTCAGTTCTGCTCGTCTCGCCTCGCTGTTGGAGCTGTCGATCTTCTCTGCCGCACGGCTTAAGTGTTTTTCATTTAGAATTTGCACGCAAAATTGTTTTTATACAGATACTAGAACATCATTTTGTTCGCATCATGTATAATTCTGACCAAAAAAATATCAGAAACTAGAATTTGTGTTGTAATAAATTTCTACCGGAGGAGGCGGAAAGAAGAAGAAGAAGAACAAACGAGCGTGAAAATGAAAATGAAATTAACTATTAAAATTTCAAATGCAAGTGAATGAGAAAATATTAAGAAAAAGACATCGTAGCGATGTTTGGCATCTCCAAACCAGACGAGCTAGAAAACAGTATTTGGATTCTTTACTTGAAATTCGTTCCAAAATTTAATGCACTCGGTTACAACTCAGTACTTTCCTCAAAACTTCGATTTCAAAAATCACTCACTTATTCTTTTAATCCTGTAATTAGGCAAATCGATTTAGTTGTTTTCCTTTCAAGAAAATTTAAAAGCATTCAGGTATCTCCGAGAATTTACTAATGGACATTCAAAATTTACCCTTTTAGATAGCTTTTAAGTCTTCGGTGTATAATTATGTCTAGCTATTATCTCTGATAGGGCTTGGGTTGGTAGTTCAATAAAGTACAATCGAAAAACCTGATTTAAAAAAATAATTTAACTTTCTAAGGGTGCTTTTAATTAAGTCTAGCCAGTCAGCCCGAGCTGCCAGTACTCAAGTGGTATGCGTGACAGTTCTTACAACTAACTCGAGCTGCATTGGTCCAGCTCTAAGAACTGATGCTAACCACTTGAGAATAGACCTCCTCGGCTCTGACGTAATGTTGTCCCATTTCAGATCGTGTCATTCCCTTGACAATAATATTCTTTGTTTGAGTTGTATACGTATTAGTTCATATTCATGTGTCTTCTCATGCGCAACCGAGCGCAAACCTTAAACAAAGAAATGATACTTTAGGGAATGACACGTGGTCTGAAATGGGAAAACATTACGTCGGAGCCGAGGAGGTCTAATGGCTGCTGGGACCGATGGGTTTGACTGTAATGGAACACTTCCTTAGAATAGGCCCTTTGCAGCTAAGCAATCACGTGCTGATTAATTCACTGAGAGCAAATGAATGAACATTTTGATTCCCATGGGTGAAATTTACTGGACTGCAAACAAACTTTCTACAACCTGCTGTTTCGAGAGATCGTAATAAAACTGCATTTCGACTGCAATATAAAAACAAAAATTTTGCATTCCAGTACAGACACGTGATCGTTAACTGCAAAGGGCCAATTCTTGGGCTATAACTACAAGACTCAAAATCCCTTTAGATATGAATAACAATGAAATAGTCGCCATGTTGGATGATCTAACAATAGTAGTTGATCAGGTATGCTTTGTTATCGTCAACCAACATGGAGGCTATGACGTAACATGCACCCTAAGAATATATATTTGTGTATCTCCCATGACGTCATCTTTCCGGTACGAATTTACTTTATTCACCACAAAAAAATGACGTCGGCAAGTCGAGTTTGGACTTGATGTGTTCATACATTTACTGTATTGTATCAACGACTTGGAGCTTTTAAGTTGTGACGTACATCCGAGCCAGCGTGATGAAAGATCGCTAAAATGAAGTGGGGAATGTTCGACAAATCCTTTCAGGTAGAAAAATTAAAAATTTTATAGAACTACTTTTCGTTTTGGACCCGGAAGTTCTTTCCCCATACAAGTGACGTCACACATAAAAGCTCTTTTGTCTCGTGATCACTCAGGCCAATCCGGGAAAGTTTATTA